CAATGACCCTAAGTACACAGCTAAAATAATGAAGGAGTGGCTTCACAACAACTCTGTGACTGTTCTTGAATGGTCCCGCCAGAGCCCTGACTTAAACCCCATTGAGCATCTCTGGAGAGACCTGAAAATGGCTGTCCACCAACGTTTACCATCCAACCTGACAGAACTGGAGAGGATCTGCAAGGAGGAATGGCAGAGGATCCCCAAATGCAGGTGTGAAAAACTTGTTGCATCATTCCTAAAAAGACTCATGGCTGTATTAGCTCAAAAGGGTGCTTCTACTAAATACTGAGCAAAGGGGCTGAATACTTATGACCATGTGATATTTCAGTTTTTCTTTTTTAATAAATCTGCAAAAATGTCAAAAATTCTGTGTTTTTCTGTCAATATGGGGTGCTGTGTGTACATTAATGAGGAAAAAAATGAACTTAAATGATTTTAGCATATGGCTGCAATATAACAAAGAGTGAAAAATTTAAGGGGGTCTGAATACTTTCCGTACCTACTGTATGTGTCTGAGATATCTGCCTCCATCCAAATGACATATTTCTGTGACAGACTGGCGACCTGTCCAGGGTGGACCCCACCTCAATCCCCCACTCGGCCCTCTTTAAGATCAGCAGTATAGATAATGTGGAAAATTCACAGAGCACACTATCATCGTTAAGTAGAAAGATTTCTAGTTAAAATTTCATGGTGGTACACAGCCATACAACCTGTATGGCTGTGTACCACCAAGAAGATATGATGCTTTTGTAATATGGATGAATGGACCCTTTAAGACTGAGTAGCTAAGTTAGTGACAGAAGGCTAGTTACTGGGACTCTAGAAATAACCTGCCTCCATCACATTGTCCAGTGCTTTGCATCTCAACCTGCCTATTTCAGTCTTGGCATCATATACATTTGGACTGCATTAATCAAGCCATATTAAAAGTCGATGTCTTGTTATTGGAGCCATGTCATAGCATTACTGCTGTGGTAATGTAAATATTGTGTGTGTGACAAAGTGTACCATACTGTATGTACAGCTGACTGGTAAAACTACCTATGGATGTGCACATGAACTAGAGTGACTGGACAATAAAGAATAGCTGTGAAAATTTTACACACAACATTGTTTTGAGTTTAATTTTCATTCCCCTGTTTCTTGAATTACTATAAGCGATATATTCATGACTCTGGTTTATTAAGCTGCATACTGTATTTTAGTGAGCTATTTTTCCACATCTCTGACTTCATTTTATGTGTGCGATTGTATTTTTTTCATATCGGGCTAAAAAGTCACAATCATTCAGGTGCGGAGGGGGGCTGATTAAGACTCTGCCAGCTGCTGGAGGCCAGACGGGAGGAGAGAGGAGCAGAAACTGGAAGAGGAAAAGTTACAGGAGGGGATGAAGAAAAATCCAAGGGGGGAGGAGAAAGTTGAGCCAGGGCAAAGAAGGGAGTAACCAGGAGTAAGAGGAAAAGGAGGGATGAGGAGGAGAGCAGGTGGTGGAGAGCAGAGAAGGGGTGAAGAGGCCAGGACTGTGGAGTGTCGGGCAGTCACCG